GTTAAATTCAATCCCTTATATTCAACTGATATTTATCATTGTAACAAATTGGATTATATAATAAATAATTGGTCCTTTAAATTTTTTATCTTAAATTAAGTGATTTTATCAACAATTACACAGAAAATTAAAAGGCATTAAAATAAGCTGCAACGCTTATTATTTTAATCAAATTTTACTTATTTTAATACCAAAATGGATTAAAATAATAAGCGTTGCACCTTATTTTAATGCCTTTTAATTTTCTGTGTACATATAAAATTTTCACTAAATTTCAGTCAGATTTCACTGAAGAAGAATCTTTTTGAATTACTAAAATCTACTTTACCGATTAATGATAATATAAATTTGTCAGTTTAATAATAATAATAATAATAATAATAATAATAATAATAATAATAATAATAAAATATTGTCTTAAAACAAGTTTTCTCAGAATTGAAAAAATATACTTGAAAAAAAAATAGACGAAAGATTATCTATCGTATAAAAGTGTGAAAATAAAATATCACCCACATGAAGTGTAAAATTCATCTGAAAATGATTTATTGACTTCACTAGAAATTACATAACTGTCAATAAAATTGAACGTATTTCAAAGAAGCTATATTTTTCTGGCGCTAAAAAAAAGCAAATATATATACCTATATATAAAATGATTTAAATTAAGAAATCCAATATCATTGACATTACGCAATACATTTTTTTTTTCATCTTCGCAATATCACTTTAACTTTCATCTCTTATTTCCTTATAAAATAGAATTTAATCATGTCAATTTTGTATATATATATATACACATTCTACAAAGTAACAGTTATTTACTTCCTAAAGGACATTCTTGAAATAAATTCTCAATTATATAAACTGAAAAATAATGACTAATATATATATATATATACTATTTCAAGCTAATAAACTATATAGAAAAATCAATTTACATTAAATAGAATGTTTAAAGAAAAATAAAAAATTTACGAATGTAAAAAAAAATGTATAATTACATCATTATGATTCAGAGTTTTGTTTAATTAAAGTGTAGAAATTATTAATGTCTTTTTATAAATTTCATTATACTATTAACTCAATATTTGATATACTGAACTCATAATGATACGAAACAACAATTTGGTTTTTTTTTTTTTTTTTAAGGGAAAACAATACATTCTTAAGTGTTAATAATTTCCACTAAATCATAATGACTCTTATCTATAAGTGACATCATTAAATGTATATTATATATATATATATATATATATGAATGAGTCTTAAAATAACCTCCAGTCAATGACGATGACTTATCGATACTATATGGATAAAAAAAAAAAATTTAATTTAATCTATATTTTTCCTTTTTATTTCGAGAAAACGGAAAATCATATATATCATAATATTGAATAATGGAAATTATATATCGAATTTTTATTTATTCAAAATTATACAAATCGCCAAACAAACAATCGCCAGAAAGGATTTTGGCGCGATTTTTAAAACACAGAAAATTAAAAAGCATTAAAATAAGCTGCAACGCTTATTATTTTAATCCAATTTTACTTATTTTAATACATTTTGGTATTAAAATATAAGCAAAATTGGATTAAAATAATAAGCGTTGCAGTTTATTTTAATGCCTTTTATTAATTTTCTGTGAATCCACCAATCACAATTTTGTTAACAACTTTTTGATTGGTGAATTTTTATTGTCGCGCCGAAATTTTTCTGTTAATTATTTTGTTCCGGACATTTGCAATTTTAGAGAAATAAAAATTCGACTTTTTAATAATTCTGTATAAAATAAAACTACAATACATAAGAATAATAATTCATGTTAAGTAAAAATTTAGTTTAAAAAAAAATTCTGTCAAATTCTCATTAAATATATATATATATATATATATATATATATATATATATATATATATATGTATATATATATTCACGCACTGAGAAAAAAATTTTCTTTGAAGCAAATATATTTATTCCATTTTATATTAAAATAAAAATTCAAAAATTCCCTGACCGCACAGGACTTGTCATCACAATTTTACGATAATTTTTGTTTATCAATAATTTCCTTCAAAATTTCATTATTATTGAAATAAATCGGCCAAAGAAATATTAAATTTAATATATATATAATGTGTCAATGACGTTACCGAACTTTACATAATCATTATTATTGTATATATATATATATATATATATATATATATATCTACCGGAAAGTGACGTCATGTCTGCGTCTGACTGTTGTCATCCGTTATCACTTCCTCTTAATATAGATAAGAATTATCGAGAAGCAATAATATATATATATATATATATATATATATATATATATATATATATATATATATATATATATATATATATATATAATTAAATAAATTTCAAATTTTAGTAAATTAAAAACAGTTAAAAAAAAAGGAAATTTTGTTAAAAATTATTTTTAGTAAAAAAAAAAATGAATATGAAACAAAGACGAAATGGACCATATTCAAAAATAACGGAGAACACTGAGAAAATGATATACATCTTCGATTATTCAATTAACATATGTTCTTCTATGAATCAAATGAATTATTCATAAAGTTACATGTTTTTCTTCATTTTCTTTTTTTCTTTTTTTTTTTTTTTTTTTTTTTTTTTTTTTATTTTTAAATAAGACTTAACCATTTTTCATCATTATTCTATTTCTTTTAAAGAACATTGCAGAAAAGTCTTGCTATTTTTTGTTAATTTAATATTCGTAAATACAAAATAGACCGCAAATAATCGTAAATGTTTAAACAACACTTGCCTTCTTTAAAAAAAAAAAAATTATTATTATTATTTTCAATTATGAATTTATACGAAAAAAAAGGAAAACAATAAAGTATTGTATTGTGCGGCTATTTTAAATAATATACAACAACACACACACAAAACTGATGTGTCAAATTTTAAAAACTTTAAGTGGCAGAAGAACTATTTATATGCTATACATATATACTTAAAAAAAATTGATTTTTAGACATTTTTGTTTCTTTGACAATTTATAAAAGAATTATTATTATTATTATTATTATTATTATTATTGACAATCAGCAGAAAACAAATAATTTTAAATCATTTTTAAATGTTTTTTTTTTTTTTTTAAATATAATTCGAAACAGAAATAATTTTTTTAGATTTTTATATAAGCTAGACCAGGCACAAATTTAATAACGCCGTTTACTCTTTTTACTAAGTGTTCAATAACTTCATTCACTTTAGAGAGGACGAAAGTTAATATAATCAAAATTGAATACAATCCATACCAATAATATGGCATTTTCTTTTTTTTTAATTAAACTTGTTAGTTACTGTATGTGAAAAATAGTCTCTTATTCTTATAAAATATTTTAGTATAATAGTCCTCTTTTGTTTTTATTCTATATCTAAATCGTTTGGGTATAGTATTATTGTCCAGAAAAAAAAAAAGAAATGGATAAATAAATCGTAAATATTAATATACATACATAGAGAGAGAATATTTTAAGATTATTTATTCACTTAAATATACATAATATAAAAAAAAAAAAAAAAATTGAGAATTTTAACATCAAAATACATATTATTTGAAAATTTATTAAGGGCCTGTCTAAAAAAAATTTTCTAATGGAATATATTTATGACCTATCGTAAATAAAAAAGAAAAATCCCTTTAAACACACATATATATATATATGTATATAAAAGCAAAGCAAAGTACCATGAAAGATTTAGCCCTCAACACCTTTCTACCACATACCTTATAATACACCATACACTATTACCATATACACTCGTCTCACTCCAGGATATCAATAAATATATTCTAAATTTGAAAGTATTTTGATTTTTATATTAATTTCAATTTGAAATCAACTAAAATAATATATATATATATATACATACTAAATATTTCACATTTTTTTTTAATACGTTTCTAAAATCTATTCTATATTTAAAATTAATTTTTAAAACAATATTTAATTATTCTAAATTTAAAAACAATTTAAATTACTTCAATAATTTTAAAATATATTTTTTTCGGCAAATTTATTAAAATTTTTAGAATAATATTAAAAATTTTAAATATATATATATATATATATATATATATATATATATATATATATATGTATATATATATTAAAAAATGGTAATTAAACATTTTAGAAGTTTTGAAAAATATTTTGAATTTAAAAACATATATATGAAATTTGTCAAGGAAATATTTTTTTTTTTTAAATTATTTGAAAACAATTATTAAAATAATGGAATTTAATTTTAATGGAAATATAAAAAATGTGAAACTTTTCTAAACTATATATACATATATATAAAAATCTTTTAAAAATTTAATTTTAGAATTAAACACTAAATAAATGTCAAAAATTGACTCTTGAGTTTTCCTCTGTTTTGAGGAAAGCAAAGTCACGTGCTTATGATTCCTTTTCATTAGAAATATTGTATATAGGTAAACACTAGTTTTTCCTTATTTTATATATATATATATATACACACGAAAGAGTTCAAATAACAAGAAAAAAAGTTCATATTCATTTTATATTGATGTAAAAGGAAAAACATGAGTATAACTTTAATTATATGGGAAGCGTTTCAAAAAAAAAAAAATTATTAAATTATTGATTTAAAAAGTAATAAATTTATTACTAATTGTATTCATTGTTAATATAAAAAAATTTAATTAATTTTTCAAATAAATTAAAATAGAAATTTTTTTTTTACAAAAATATTTTCATTAGGAGATATAAAAAAAAAATATTTTAAAAAATATATAAAAATATATAAAATATATCTAAATCATTTGTTTAAATAGACGAAACATTTTTTTTTAAATATATACCGCGTTTAAATAAAAGCAAATATTAATATAAATATTGATAAATTAGTTTATTTTATATATATAAAATTGAATATTTAAGTAAAATAAAAATAGAAAATTATATAAAATCGATATTTGTTCAACTCACCGCAAAGTTACCCCCATGTATCGGCGTCGTCCCTTGATTCTTGTGCGACATTTTCTCGAGACACTTTATTCTTCCTTTTATATAGCCTCTGAAATAATTTCAAAAAAAAAAAAAAATTTCTTTTTTTTTTTTTTTGATCAGCACTACTCCAAATGCACTTGAATTTTATATAATTTCCTTTTCACACACCTATACACGTCGTTTAAAACTAAAAAAAATTTTCTTATTATTAAAAAATTCTAATGACTATCAGAAAAATCTAATCAGATCTCTTGATTGGGGGGGGGGATTTTTCTGTTAATTTCCTTTTTGTAATTAATTATTAATCCTGGCTTCTTTTTTTTTAGATGCGTCTCGCGCGATCTAAGAATTATAAGTATATATAAATATATATTGTTTAATAAATTTTTTTTTTTCAATAGATAAATAATATTTTTGGATATTTAAAAAAAAAAAGGAAAAACAAAGTTATAGCACCGCGAAAAATTTTGTAGCGGTGATCGCGCGAGATCTCAACAGGGAATGAGGAGTTAAACGAGGTTGACGATGTGGGAGGGCAGAGGTAGTGGTGGTTCTCAAACAAACCCTCCCCCCCTCTTTCATTCTTTTCCCCACTATATATTTTACTCATCCCTACCAAAAATGTGTCGAGCAGCCCTTCTACGGTCGGTAGCACACGCTTTTCCCTTTCCATATACTTTTTCCTTTCCCCCCCCCCACTCCCTTCACTTTTCTCCCCACCAAAAATTATATTCACGACGCTAACCGACGCTCAACGTCGTCGTCGTCGTCGTGACTCGAGAAAAATTTTTTTTTTTACATTTCTTTCTCTCACACACACACACCCTTAATGTGAATTGTGTCTATTATTCTTATCTCTTTCATCTCGGTCATCATATATTAGAATTTTATAATATAAATATTAAACAGATTGCTTTTCGCTTCCTCTTAGAGAAAAAGCAAAAAAAAAAGAAAAAATTTTTTTTTCTCATTAACGCATTATTATTAAAAATTATTAGATTTTTCATTTATTTATCCGAATTTTTATTTAATAGAATTTAAAAAAAAAAAACGCTAAATTTTCATTTGTTCGAAATTCCAAATAACCGAACAAACATTATAGACAGAATTTTCATTAAATCAAATCTTCATTTATCCGAATTTTTATTAACGCACAAAAAATGTCATATTTAATAGAAATCTTAAAACTTGTAATTTTCATTTATTCTTCATTGCAAATGGCGGAATAATCAAATGGCAGAAATATTTTGGCGCCAATTTCAAAAATTAACCAATGAGAATCTGTCAAAAAAAAAAAAATTGTGATTGATCAATTTTAAAATTGGCGCCAAAATATTTGTGCCATTTTGATTATTCGACCATTTCCAATTTAGAATAAATAAAAATTACAAATTTTAAGATTTCTATTAAATATGACATTTTGTGTTAATAAATCGTCAAATTCGGACAAATGAAGATTTGATTTAATAAAAATTCTGCCATTTAAAAATTCGACTCAGGCGAAATTAATGTTTCATAATTTATTACAATTATTTTATTATAAATATTTAATAATATTGTTAACAAAATGCAAAAAAGGCATGTAATTATGTAAAGAAAGTTTCAAACACAAAAATAATAATCTATTATATTTGTAGAATTTGTCTAAAAATAATAATAATAATAATTGTTGAATAATTTTTTTTTAAAACTAAAAACACTTTTTTATTCAAGGTAATATTATTTTCATAATAATTTAATTTATAACAATTATTTTATTATAATTTAATAAATTTCATTATTTTAAAAAAGCGCGCGCTATTTTGTCTTGGGCCGCAATAAAGGCGCACTCACACCTTTTTGGTTGCCTGCAGGTTACCATGGCAACGCATGAGAGCGAGTGCGACAGAAAATTTAAAAATTTGAATATTCAAATTTTCTGTCTCACTCACACTTGTGCGTTGCCATTGTAACCTGCAGGCAGACAGGCAGTCAAAAAGGTGTGAGTGCGCCATAAAAGTGATTTGAACTAAATGTAGGTTATGTTCGTATCTGATTAATGACATTTGCAAATATTTACAACAAATAAATGCTTTGCAAGTGTATATTTATTGCAATTAAGTAAATTATGCAAAAAATGAATATTGATTTAGGATGCTCTGAAAAGCAAAATTCATTTTTTCTTACATTCGATTTTTTCGACCATCGAGATATTTCGATAAATTTTCATGTGCACTGTCTTTTTTTAAGAAAAGGAGATCATGCGCCCCCAATTTCAAACAAGTGAAGTTTTGTCTTAAAAAATGTTATTTTAAATAAAACAAAATTGTGGAAACAAAAAATTCGGACGAAATATAAAATTTCAAATCACTTAAAAGTTTTGTCTATTTGAAAATATTAAATATTTAATAATTAAAATTGTATAAATACCATAAACATTTTAGGAGTTCTTAAAGATTTATTTATATTTTTTTTTTTTTCGATGAAAATGATTAGATAAATGTTTAAACAGAAACTTAGTTATGATTCAAACATTTTAAAAATGCGTTTTTAATTCATTTTCAATTCTATTTTATCACCAAAATTTAATTGTTTTTAAAATAAATTATTTTTTAATATATCAGAAAAATGATTATGACTGGTTAATATACATTTTTTTTGTATGTATAATAAAAGTGATATAATTTCATATTTTTAAATCCAATATCGACGAGATCGTGCAAAATAAAAAAGGGAAAATCTCATCTTAAACTCGAGGAAATAATAAGTATATATAACTGAAAGGAGAGCAAGACAAACTCAGGAATGTCGTTGTTTTTTTTTTTTTTTTTTTTAATGTTTATGAATACTTTTCTTTTGAAAAATGCTCATCATCATTGACAGAAGCAAGATTTCTCTTTTCGCGCACAAAAGAGTAATCTACAGTATATTGAACTTTATAAAAGACATCTCGAGACATATGTTTATAAATATGGGACATTCTTCAAAAATGCTTCGATGAAAAATTAATTTAAAACATTTGGTAAATATTGTCATCCTATATGAGAGTAAAAAATTTCTGAAATTTTAAATAATTAAAAAAAAAAAAAATTAAAAAATAGAAGTGATTAACCAATTTTTTTTTTAAATAATTTAAAATTTTAGGGTTTTTTTACTCTCATTCAAGACAATAATTAAATTAAATTTTAAGTCATTTGATTCATTATAATCTATTGTCAATAATTCCTCTCGCGGTGTTTTATTATAATTATATATAGTAAAATTTTCAATATAAAATCAAAATTTAAATAATACAATGTTTTTGTAAGAAACGATATTACAAATGGACATTTAAAAATACTTAAGATACAAATGATATAAATCATTTTGTCCCATTTATTTATCATCAATAATAAGTCAACTCATTCCTCGTTGGGAATTTTATTTTCATTCATTAAAATTCATTTAAAGTTATAAAATTTTATCCTTATCCAAAAAAAAATTTTTTATTTCTATCCTATATATATATATATATATATATATATATATATATATATATATATAATATTATAGTAATTTTTACTTAATTTAAATGTCGCATTTATCAAAAATCATATTGAGGTCATTGGACGATTAAAGATTAGCTTTATTTTGAAAAAATTAGATCACAGCGACTTTGTACCTAATTTAAAATATAACAAAAAAAAATTTTTTTTTTTTTATTTTTCACCTTCTATAAATTTGATCATAAGAAGATAAATAATGATTCAATAAATAATTTTATAATTTAGTCAAATAAATGTTTTATAAAAGTAATACAAAGAAATGTTATAAAAATGTTCAAACTATAAATCAAATACAGTCAACTTCTTTTTTTTTCATTCATATATATATATATATATATATATATTATAATAAATAAAAAAAATTCTTTGTACTATACCGAAAATTAAATACTCTTTAAACCGTCAATAAATTATCTTTTTCGTTTTTTAACACACAGACAGATTTATTGTAATCAAAATATTTCCTGGCTTTTTACTTTTTTGACCTAAAAAAAATTCTTCAAAGATAAAAAAAAAAAAATTTATTTTAATACATATTAATCTCAAAAATTGAGAATTTTTTTTTAAATTTCAAATAAAGAAAATATTTTTTTTATTTTAAAAATGGCTGTACTTTATGAAATGCTACATTTCACAAAGTGGCTATATATATGTATTATATATTCATATTAAATCTCTGTAACTTAAAACTGTAATGTCTCGTAATCGCATACATTCCTTCCATGTTACAAATTGATAAAAAAAAAAAAAAGAATTATTCTTTGATATGAAAACTCTTATTAATTATTATCGCAATGATAAACTTAATAAACTATATCGTGTAAATAATAAACTTTTTGATAATTTGCTAAACATTTGTCAAAATTCATCTAAATATTATTATTTTCTATAAAATTATTGAAATATAATACAATTTTTTCCAAAATTCATATATATTAAAAATAGAATAATTATATAAAAATCAATATAATATAAATTATTATTATTTAAATTATTTAGATTATAATTTTAAAATATTTAAAATATCTTTGAAATTTTCTATTAAATTTCTGAATCTGAAAAATATTTTTTGAAAAAACAGTGACAAATCGACGCCAATCGACCCAGACCTCTTGTCGCCAGAATGACCTCCTAAAGTTTAGTTCATCTTTTGCAAAATTTTTGAAATGAGATTCTTTCATTCCAAATAACACTTTATATATATATATATATATATATATATATATATATATATATATATATATATATATATATACATATATACGAGAATTGGTCCACCCACACAATATTATCATATAAATAAAGATTTAGATAACTACGTCAGCAATAGTACTATATTTAGCTATATATACTGTATTGTCAAAAATAATCTTTTTTGTTTTTTTAATAAAATTACTTTGCCGAACTTTTTTAAAAACATTAAATTTACTCAGTGCCTATTTCCACATATAAATAACTAAATAGAAAAAAGAATTTTGTATAATTAATTAATTAATAAAATAATTAACAAAAAATAACAAATTAATCAAAAAACATGATTTTATGCCCAAAAAAAATGTATTAAAACTTATTTTGAGCTAAAAGATTATATTTTTGTTTGAAGATGTCAGAATTTGTTTTTTTTTTTATAATTAAAAAAAAATAAAATTTTGCGAAGTTAAAAAATGTTTTTTTTTTTTTTTTTTTTTTTTTTTTTTAAATGGCCCTCACAATTTCCATTGATTGAAATAAAAAATTTATTATACGCACTAAAGCTTCTCAAACTTCATAAAAATATAGAAACAAAAGGTTTATTATACGATCTTAAGTAATAACAATGTCATAAAATATAGTGTTTCTTCTGACGAAGTGATAAAAAAAAATTTTTCCACTTCTTATACTATATATACATATTTATATTATATTCATAAAATTGTGTATTATACAATTACACTTTGCATTTATTAGTGCTAACATTATAATAATAATAAATTTGATAAATAATTAAAAATTTA